CAATGGACCAATACAGTTCTAAGTGCAGGGCGAAACCCACCCTCTCCAATAACTAACTACATGTGCTATCGGCCGCGATATGGAGTGGTCGGTATTAGGCGACCGGGCGATAACTGGAGAATTTATCATACGTGGCAGCGGGGTTCAATGAACTACAAGAACCCATAAGTATCCCAAGCCGCAAAGCAGTGCGTTTAGGATTTGAAAATCTCAAGAGGACTAACAACTCACTCATGGAGCTGAGCCCTTCTTGAGAAGCTGCCAATTGTGCAGCCACTCAAGAACTTCCCAGCATTTTATGGAACCCGAAGGTTCATTCACAAGAGCCCTCCACTGGTTCATATCCTGAGCCAGATCAATCCAGTTTATACCATCCCAGCCTATCTCTCTAAAATTCATTTTAATATTGTCCACTCACCTACGTCTTGGTCTTTCTAGTGGTCTCTTTCCTTCTGGCCTTCTCACCAATATCCTATACGCATTCCTCTTCTCCCACACTAGTTCTAAATGCCTAGCCCATATCATCCTCCTTGACTTGATCATTCTAATTATACTTGTAGAAGAGTACACGTTATGAAGCTCCTCATTATGCCTAACAACATTGGGAACAACTTCATAATCCAGAAACCACGAGCTTGAGTCTCTTTAGCACGCACATACCATATGGCGCCACCTGCAGTCAAATGTTCCGTGAAATTAGTGGTTGCCTGTGTTCACCAGACCCAGCACAACTTCACCGCAACGCAAAGTAATCTTGAATGTCACAGAAATCGGACTTATTGCAGAAATATTGACAAGTAAACCTACGGTAGGGCCGCGCCATAGCTCAAGCGGTTAGTCGCTGGCTTCCCACCGCGGCGGCCCGGGTTCGATCCCGAGTCGGGTCAAGTGGGATTTGTGGTGGACAAAGTTGCGCTGGAGCAGGTTTTCTCCGAGACCTTCGGTTTCTCCTGCCAATCTTCATTCCACCAAATTCTTCTTCAACACAATCACCAGGGGCAGGCTATAATAGGCCAATCAGAGGCCGCCGTGCCGAATGACGACATTAGCGAGGAGGGGGCAACTCTAGCATCTGACCCCTCCTAGAGTTTTGAAAAAAAAACTAAAACTGAAGAAGAAAGAGAGGCCAATTAAAAGCATTTTAAAAAGATCTATTGTTCTCTCGTCTATCTTGGAATATCCTACGGCGATAGGTAACAATGTCTTAAACAATTTAAATTCAAACTTGTAACGGAAGTTTCTAGTTACCCCTCCATCCCCATTCCTGCAGTGCCCATATTCATTAATACATCTTCCCAGTCCGGGGAAAGAAGAGCAGCTGAAAGTTTATAAATGAGCAGCGGTGCCTACTTTTATAACTGGAAGTGAATCTTGTACAATTAAAGCAGAAAATAAATCCCTTTACACAATAAAATCTTAACGACGCTGCACGATATTACGGTGACAAACGCTCCGACAGTGAGCTGCAGGCGCTTGTTTTAAGTGGTTCGAATCCCGCAACAGTCTCTCTGTAGTCAGCTATCGTCATTATCGTCAGCATTTTAACAGAGGAGCTTCTTTAAGGCGCGTCCACATTACTCGTGCCCGTGCTCGTGCGCGCCAGGCTTGTGTTCGTCGGGAGACTCGTCTGGCTTTTACTTGTTCTCGTAAATCTTCGTCCACACTACTTCAGTTGCTTGCCAGGCTTCGGCGCGTGAGGATCTGTATATTTACTCGTAGTGTATATAGGCTGTAGTAGTATTTTAATTTACTGGCTGTAGTTTTTAAATTAAAAATTTAAAATGTGCTTGTCTCGTGACTTGTTATATCGTCCACATTACTCGCGAGCATAGCGAGTCACACGAGCACGAGCATGAGTAATGTGGACGCGCCTTTGCAATCACACTTTTGTATTCTTTCAGTAGGCCCACTGGATTTAGGACTGGATTGAGGGCACGAGAAACGAAGCCCCTAGTACGTAGGCCTGCATGCATACGTGCAACCTCAGAGTGCGCGTGAACCATCCTCTCCTCTTGGCCTACTCCCAAACAAAACAAAACAAAAACAAATTTTGTGACCTGTAGTCAGCAAGCGAACTATACCGACTGAGCGATCGCAGCTTGTCGGCGAAGTTAGTACCAACTTTAGCGGACAGAGGGTGTCGCGTGGTCAGAGAAACGGATCCACACGGCCGCTAATCGCGGTTTTCTAGACCGGAACTTCTATTTCTTTGATAAAAGCTCCTCAATTATCCTCACGAGGCTGAGTGGACCCCGTTCCAGACCCTCTACTTCTCAGAAAATCTGGTAGCGCCGGGAATCGAACCCGGGATCTCTGGATGTATAGCCAGGTTGGCTTACTCCCATAGGTTTAAAATAATATATAGCCTAAACGCCGATGTCTTAGAGCTATACTGTTGGCAGCTTAGATAGCTTAGTCAGTACAGTGAATAGGCTGCGTGCTCGACTGTCGAAGGATCAGGGTTCGATTCCCGGCAGAGACCATCGCGTCCAGACCGGCTCTGGGTCTCATTCACCTTTCCCCCCAATGAGTATCAGGCGCTCTTTTCCCAGGGTGAAGTAACCGGGACATAAATCCGGACGTAGCGCCAAAGTTGAGAATAGGTGGAGCTGTACTTCCACTCCCCATTAGTCTTTATGGAGTGGTGCTTAGTTAAACACAGAGATGACTCTACACGATATGGCCTTTCATCACGAGTTTCAAGTCCGGATAGAAGGATTAGGTAAATTGAAAAGAAAAAAAAAAGAATGACCTCATCGGGACTCAAACCCGCGACCTTCCGGCTTGTAGCACAGTGCCTCAACCAAAAGTAAAATAACTTCTATTAAACACATTCGAACCGCTACCCTCTGGAATACAGGTCACAACCTTACCGCTTTAGCTAATTTAACTCGGCAGAGCGTATTTAAGCTATAGGCCTAGTCAGAAGCCATTTCACTGACACCAGAAGTGCGTCAATAGATGGAATATATTTATATAGCGAACCTTTGTACACAAATGCTGATTACTTAACTGAGAGGAACAGCTTTTCTTCCCTGTACTGAGACGTATCTTTTCGTCCGTTCACTCTGTCCTTTGAAGCGCGATATCCTCTAAACTGCGCTCCTTCCCACCCGCAGCGCCACGGTCTCACTGTCCGCATACCCGCGCCACATTATTTTACACTCGATTTACTCTTCTGGTCTCAAGATAGAGGAAGCAAGTTCCTCTCAAATTTAGTAACGATCTACCAGACTAAATGGCGCCACATCTCACAAGACAGTACGCCTTCACCTTCAAAAAGGACCTAAGCTACTTTTAACAAAAAACTGACCTTTCAGTTTCTGCACTAGGCTACTTGGCATATCTTTATACTATGCTGAATATCATTAGGCTCTCTGACGTATAATTAGGTTCTGTGGATGTTATTAGGCTCCCTGACATGTCATTAGGCTCTCTGACGTTCCGTTAGGGTACCTAGTATGTCATTAGGCTCCTTGGCATCTAATTAGGCTATCTGCTATGTCATTAGGCTCCCTAGCATTCCATTATGGTATCTGGAATGATATTAGGCTAACTGGTATCCCATTAGGCTCCCTAGCATTCCATTATGGTATCTGGAATGATATTAGGCTAACTGGTATCCCATTAGGCTTCCTAATTAGGTTATCTCGTATGTCATTAGGCTCTCTGACATTCCGTTAGGATACCTAGAATGCCATTAGGCTCCCTGGCATCTGGTTAGGCTATCTGCTATGTCATTAGGCTCCCTAGCATTCCATTATGTATCTGGAATGATATTAGGCTACCTGGTATGTCATGAGGCTCCCTGGAATGCTATGAGGCTACCTGACATATCATTTGGCTCTCTGGAATGGCATTAGGTTTCCTGGTATGCCATTTAGTTTCCCTGGCATGTCTCATTTAGGCTACGTGACATCTGAGGACGGTGAAGAAGATCAAGCCTTAGGGCGCTTCAAGACGCTGGCTTGTGCCTCACCTCTGAACGCCGCCACCGTCGCCGCTGCTGTGGAAGTGACCCAGACTCTTGGACCAGCGCGCTATCTGTCTCCCCAGCGCCTGGAACAAGTTGCCATTCTCTATCTCCGGCTCTGGAACAAGAGAGACGCGCATCACGAACAGTGAGATTAAGCCCCTTAGGGCAAAGTACACTTCCTGGCGTTCACACACTCAAATTGTTGGCTGTAGAGCTCCGAGTACGCGTGTCGAGATTCTTCGTACTACTCACCACAGGTTGTTTACCAAGGCTTTCAGTACCGAGCTTATAAAGCAGCGGCTGTGCTAGGAAGACAGATGAAAGATCATGAACTTCAAAGTATCTGCAAGGAAGAAGTCCTGCCTAATCGAAATACTATCACGGCATTTGTCTGGAGGAACTGGGGAAAACAAAGAAAATATCAGGATAATCCGTGACTCGTCACAGATTCGGATAAACCACCTCCCTAATAGTTCTAGAACTTTACTTCTGGACTGAACTGTTCTGTCACTGTCCCCTTGATCCATGCGTATGGTATGAGCGCGTGATCACGACCACAGTGATCTGCATCTCGAATGGTTTTCTACAATACAGCATAACTGGATTATAAATGGTCGAGAGTCGAGACATGCGCAGATACCGGATGTGAGCTGCCTGCTCGCAGTTTCGTTCTTCGAAGATTGAGCATTTCAAAGACGCAATAAATGGCACTCGCTTGGAGCTCAGTCGGTATAATGACGTTACCGGCTGGACTACCGAGGAATTGAGTTTCGATTCCCGGCAAGCACAAGAAATATTTATTTTCTTTACAGCGTCTACACAACAACGTGTAACTGATTAGTCACAATTTATCGTCGAGGTTAAGAATAAGTTGCACTGTAAGTATAGCCCCCCCCCCCAGCTCTGAATGGCTTGGCGCTTTGTTACACACGTCCATTTTTCTTCGTAACTAGAAGACAGACGTTTGTTTGTGGAATTCAATCAGGCTAAGGTAAAAGGTAAAGCTATCCCTGTAACAGGCCGTTGAGGCCCATAGGGTTGTGAGACTTCGAGGCTCCCACAATTTTTAGACAATCGTCTCAATGATGGCGGTGAGGTTGTCAGCCTTACGCGACGGCCGCCCTTTACCCTCTGAAAAACTCCTGCTACTCATTTCTGTTGGAGTCCGAGTCGACCGCTAGGCCATAGTGCGGCAGAAATGACTAGGTCAATTTAAAGATCTAATGACATCATCGGGAATCGAACCAGCGAACTTCCGGCGAATAGTAACATAGTGCCTCAGCCAACTACGATACCGCGTGTTCCCGGAATTCAACTAACAGGCGCTATAAGAGAACAAAACATTCTCGGGAGACCCATAATTCCTACAGTCCTACTGCATAGACTCTGAAGCGTACAAGACTTTGCGTTGTTCACTTCTCAGCAGAACGTTTTTGCTTCCCTTTTTGCAATTCTCCACAAGCTCACAAACACTTTATTTCTTATAAAGCAAATCAGGCATCAAATCTAACTCTTTACTTCAGAACTTTCGTCTCTTCACGCATGAGTTTGGTTTCGACTGTTTTCTTTTGATTAAAAGTGCGTAAAATCTGGACCGGTGCCTCGAAACGTTTACGCTTGACTTAACTATTGAGAACTGCCAGGAAATACTTCTTCCGCTCTACGCATTGAATACCAATAAATTCACAAAACAGTGACAATATATTTAATCGAAATATTTTTGTACGTAGAACTCGATGCATTCATGGCAAATTAAAGTAATAACTCTTTTCCAGCGAACAACCGCGTCAGAGCGAGGTCGAAGCCAAAGGTTTCGGAGACCGTCTCTGTCTCCACCATCAGGAAATAATTAAATTATTTGATGATGGAGAAAGACAAAAGCTACTGATATCAACAAATGATTCTGACGACGAAAAAAAGTCTGCAAATTTTGGAGTTCGACTCCAAATTGTCATGCCTTCCTCAGAAGAAGGTTTCATCAATCTTATGCATAAGACGGAATGATTTAAACGAGTTAACGGGAAGTGTTTCACAAAAAAATAATGTAAACCCCGGAGTCTAGTTTAAACGACCGAGCAATGTACCATTAAACGGGGTATAAAAATGTAATTCTATTATACCCTGAAACAAACGCACAATTATCACCCCACAATCAGCGATGTAATTTAATCAAAACCCCATGTGTCAATTCCTACAAGCCATGTACCTAATCGCTCTGCCAAATGCGACGAGGATCCCAAATACAACTACAGTCTGTCCAACATGTCTTTGAGAGGGTTTCATACATTGATTAGGCAGCCTTAAAGAAGAAACGTCAAGTGGGTTTCAACGAGCCCTCTGGTATAAACACTCTGTTCCCATCGTATGCTGAGAACAGAATTTCTAACTCCCTAATGAGGACGGAGCACGCAGTAGCGTAGATGGTTGAGGCTACAAGCAGGAAAGTCGCGGGTTCATGTTCCGATGAGGTCACTGGATTTTTCAATTCACTTAATCTTTCCAGCCGCACTATGGCCCCTGAGCTCGACTCAGCCTCTAACAGAAATTAGTACCAGGAAGCCTTCTGCGGGTAAAGGGCGGGCGGCGCGTAAGGATGACAACCACCATCTGCGAGCAGATTGTCTAGAAAATGTGGGATCCTCAACATCTCACAACCCTATGGGCCTCCACGGCCTGTTAAAGAGGTAGACTTAACTTTTACCGTTTACTTTAAGACATAAAAAAGTAAAGCTATCCCTGTACCAGGCCATGAAGACCCATAGGGTTGTGAGATGTTGAGGATCCCACATTTTCTAGACAATCTGCTCGCAGATGGTGGTTGTCATCCTTACGCGCCGCCCGCCCTTTACCCGCAGAAGGCTTCCTGGTACTAATTTCTGTTAGAGGCTGAGTCGACCCCAGGGCCATAGTGCGGCTGGAAGGATTAGGTCAATTGAAAAAAATCCAGTGACCTCATCGGGACTTAGCAGGACACAAACATCTACATAATTTTCTGATTATGACGCAAAATAGAAAAAAATATTTTAGACACACATACAGCAAATATTTCAAGTGGAATAACTGATAACATAGAATTAAACGGATGGTTAGTATAATAAGCCTAAGAGGACATCAGGTATGCATTCTGAAAGTAACAAACATGGTCATTTTTTAAATATTTTCAGGTCATCAAAATCCGGGCCATGATAATAACACAAAGTAGAGATGGCGGGGAGGAAGACTAAGAAAACAAACGTGGAAAAGATGGAAAATTAAGAGTACAATAAGAAGAAATGGAAGAGGAAAATAATGTAGAAGGCTCCTATCTGATCTCTTGGGTCTGAGAATACTAAGAAGAGCCCTTCAGCTGGTTCCGAACCTCAGCATGGAACGGTAATCACAAAAGCTTGCCAATAGGTGCTATATCGAGAGAGAACAATCCAGTCCACAGCCTTCTCGTGTCTGCCTGCCTGCCTATCTCCGTTAAACGCAAGCGAGGAGGCACGGACCGAGCTACGTTCTGATTTATTCCAGCTTCATTGAACCGCCGTTCCCTGGCTTAGCGTCCGTCAGCCGTATGTCACAACGAGAGATGAGCGTCTCCTTTCTTTCGCAGCCTCTTCTCAACCCCCTCTCCACAGATCTCATCTCTTAGGGCCTAAGCACATCAGGATTAAGCTTCTGTTAGATACAGAATGTCCAGAAAGTTGTTTCAGGGTTTTAAGAGAACAGAAAAACCTCAAATGAAGGTTTACGCAAAACAGTTCAGTAGCTTTTCACGTTTTTCCCCTTTCGTAGCTCGAAATGTTTAGCCGAAGGGCTGAGTTAGAGGTTGAGAATGTCTTAACGGTCTCGGAAATGATAAAATCAATATTACAGCCCACTTTCTTTATTTTGAAAAATAAAAGAAGGATTATGAAATCGCCTTGCTGTCTCTCTGTGTTTATCTGTTTGTGCCAGTCCTTCTGTCTGCGTATCCCCCTATTTTCTTAGGGTCATGAGATCACCTTTGTCTTTCAGTCTCTGTGTTTGTGTGTCCCACCCACTAATTTCTGAGGCATGTGAGGACTACAGGATCGGCTGCTGCCTGTGTGTGTCTGTGTATCCCTTCTAGTGTTTTCGTTTTCTATGCGGTCCGTGTAATATCAAAAGAAACTAGGCAATCAGTTCTTCACAGAACTTGTTTTTTTTTTTTTTCAAAATAAGGAGAGTAAGACTGCAGAGGGGGTGTTTTATAACTTTAACCCCTCGCCAAGTATAAGTACGTGTAGAATTCTCAAGTCAAGGATGATGAGGTGGGCCTCAGTACTACTACTACAGTAGTAAGTCATGTCATAACGTAAGGATATTTACATTTTACAGGTTAAACATGACAATAAATGTATATAAACATATACTGGGCCTCTGTCAGTCCAGGCTCAGTACAGCAGACTATGCCCTATTTCTAGTAGCTTCCGCTACAACGGCAGTCTATCATCTTGTACAGTATTTCACTCGTATTTATAAGGTTCCAGCACCAACCGCGTATAAAACATCGTTTCCTCTGTTGTTCCGTGTTGATACATTGGCGTGGTAACGTGCCAAATTGTTGTTGATTATAAATGTACCAATAATTACAAATTGTTACAGATTTCGTTACTTACGTTATAAATTCTGTTACCTACTTAAGAAATTTAGTCGCTGGTTTCCCACCACGGCAGCCCGGGTTCGATCCCGGGGTCTGGTCAAGTGGGATTTGTGGTGAACAAAATGGCGCTGGGGAAGGTTTTCTCCGAGTACTTCGGTTTCCCCTTCCAATCGTCATTCCACCAATTGCTCCACAATCACCCTCACTTATCATCTGGGGCTGGTTCAATAGGCCAGAAGTGGCCGCAGTACAAGGGACTTAGTCCCACCCCACAAGCAAAAAAAAATAACTTAAGAAATTCTGTTACTACAGGTTTAATTCCATTTGTACCCTCGTAAATTAACGTTTTCAAAGTTAAAAGAACAAAAGATCTGACAGACATAAAAGAAACTGCTCAAAGGCATAACACACAAAGGCGGAAAAACATTGAAACTAAATGGCATAATTGGCATTAGTGGTCTGAACAAAAGAACTTAAATACTATTAAATGAATTACTAACAGATTTAGT